TTTTGGTTTTTCTCCGGTACCGGGAACCGAACTCATGACCTCGCGCTTGCCAGGCAGGCGCTTGTGCCGCTGAGCTAAATCCCCAGCCCCGGTATATTGCATTTGTGCTTTCTAAGCTATTAAACAATTCTAAAAAGACTGTATCTTAGTATTAATGAGTTGTGTACATTTAAATAACTCATATTATGACAAGGTAGCAAATCCAGGTCAATTTCAGTAAAAATACACATAGTATTTTGTTGGGATGACAGTTGTCTTTTAGAATTTATGTGTATGTGATCATAACATGTTCATGTTATTCACACATGAACACTTAAATACTAAATACTCAAAAGTTGATCTTGAGGAAATTGAGAATAGAATGGTAGTTACACAGAGTCTGTGTACATTATGTATTGGAAGATGAGAATTAATTAGTATTAAACAAATGTTTTAGAAGTGAAGTTAATAAAAATATAATTTTTAAAAAGATGAAAAAATTAATAGACTGGAATTGCAGACTTACCTTATAAATTGTAAAACGAATATTGCCTAATATTTTAATGTAGTTCAACAGCCTAATCGATCATAATTTCTTTTGAAATACTAAAATGTACTTTTATAGAGAACTGATAAGCTTATCCAGTGATGTCATCCATGAGAAATCAGACTCAAATATACCTGGATTTTCAGGCAGTGAATACGCAGAGTTTGTCAGTTCTAATCTACCATAACTAGTCCCTAGAAAAGAGAAATGATTTTAATGTAGTATTAAAACTTCAGCTAGGATCTTTCATTTCTAAGATATATTTGGAAGGCAGCAAAAATTTGATACTTCTATTTATATGTTCATGCAATCCAACCTGAGTTCTACTCCTTGAATACTTAGTATAAGAGATTCATATGTAGATGAATGTTAACTATTCATGACTCTTAAATAAATGACTTCTTCATATTTTAGACAGTACAAGGTGAAATACTTTTTATCTCACATATTAAATTATAAAATATATGGTCAGCACATTACTTATTCCTCCTTCCTACTCATCACTTCTATATCAATAATTGAATATTTTGAAGTTGATATATTAAACAATTTCAAAATTATTTGAATCAGTTTTATTTTATATTATCTCTAAAAAGATGCGGTGATGAACAATAAGAACTTGTTTGCAATTTTGCTATTGTGATAGTTTATAATGCAATTTCTATGTACCAGTAAGAGCAAGTTTTTGTAATATGAATAAAACTGCAATCAACAATTTTCAGGTAAAAATATGTACATCCTTCCATATATGAATTGGGATCAAATAATACCGGGAAGTTAATATAAAAGTACATATCTTTATTTAAATACAATCCTTGGAGTAACACTTCTAATATCATTCCAGACCCACCTTGCCAGACAGAGCTCAGCAATATTCAAAAGAGACAAGAGATAAAGAAGCACCTGGGTGAGTAATAGCTCATTCTTCAGAAGGCTTTATTGCTTACATAAATAACCCCAGGGAAACAGCAACATAAAATCAATATTAATCCAACAAAGATAGACTGCACTAAATTTCAGCAACAAAATTTATGAACTTTTGAAAAGCCATTAAGCTTTTATTACCTCACCTATTGAAAGATATTATGTCTGTTTTATTACCCTAATATAATGTTCATCTTGCAAGTAATTAAGTTAAAAAAGAGATTTAAACAATGCTAATGTTAAAACATCAGCAGAAACTTATAATTGTGCGGCTACAACTTTAAGAATTAAAGATGTTACATATGTATGATTATGTATGATATTTAAATTATATATTTACATAGATGGAGTGAAAAAAGTTCCAGGTACCTCAGAATGTGGGCTGATTTTAAGTCTTTTTCATTAGTATTTTTACTACCTTATGTTGAGCAAGAAGATATAATTTGTATGGACAGTTGGATAGGTAGATAATTGCAAATTTTACTCAAAGCCTTGAAATACGTGAATGTATGACTATTAACAGATCACTACACTATTATATTTGATTATTGTTTAGTCTTGTCAGCATGATTTTTAAATAAACTCTTTAAAGTAATTTTACATTCTTAAATATATAATAATAGTTCATATTTTTCATAAATTTTTTTTTGTTTGTTTTTGGTCTTTTTGAGACATTGTCTCGCTATGCAGTTCCTGCTGGCCTTGAGCTTACTTTGTAGCCCAGGCTGGTCTCGAACTTGCAATGGTCCTCCTGCCTCAGCCTTCAGAGTGCTGGTATTACAGGCATGCACCACCACCCCCGGCTTGGATTTTTCATAAATCTTTCACCAATCTTCCCAAAGATTACATCTTTCATGTACCAAGTAATCATAGCAAATTTGTAAAATGTTAGAAATTAACTTTGCTATGATTATACTAATTAAATTTGCATTTCACTAGTGATGCTATTGGAATTCCTTTCAGTATCCAAAACAGAATACCACACCACAAATGCATTATTTCTTTTGATGTATATTAATGCATTTCTACCTTTAGTGGTGCAAAAATTTATCTCTGGATCTCATTAATATATATTATACGTTGATGTCCTATCCCTGTAATTACAATACACTACCTGAAGCTGAACATATTTTTTCATATTACTTGAAAATCCTTAATTTAGTGTCTTAATTAGTTTAAGTTTCTTAGTTTCTTAACTTAGTGTCTTGGATAAAATATATTGTATAAAATAAACTTTCATTGTGTTATAGTAAAGATCTTTTAGTTGTGCAAAATAACTGAAGATAAAACTCTAAAACTCTAATGTGTCCTGTTTCTTTTATTTATTTATTTATTTTTCTTTTTTTTTTTTTTTTTTTGGTTTTTCTCCGGTACTGGGAACTAAACTCATGACCTTGCACTTGCCAGGCAGGCGCTTTTGCCGCTGAGCTAAATCCCCAGCCCTCTTTTATTTTTTTTATTATTTATTTATTTTTGGTTATTTTCCAGTACTGGGAATCGAACTCACAACCTTGAGCTTGCCAGGCAGGCGCTGTGCTGCTGAGCTAAATCCCCAGCCCCGCCCCCGTTTCTTTTAATTCATTACAAAATAGATGCCATATTATAGCTCACAAGTGGAAAACACAGTCTTGAATAAGTGTGTCTACACACACCCAAATTTTGTTTTAGGTAGTGAAAAATGGCATTCAAATTCAATTTAAAAATATTTTAAAACTCGACCAAGTACTGTTAATATTATAAAATCTGTAAAAATGTAGACGTTCTTTTAAATTATGAAAACACAAAACACTTCTCTTCTGCACAGGGAGGAATCACTGTGACTTTCTTCTCATAATATAATTTAAAATAATTTTTCGAAGTACTGTGTGCCTCCAGTGCTTCTTTGAGTCTGGGTGGGATAATGGTGCATATCTGAAAACTGATCAGCTCTTGTGTAAGATAGCATGTTGAATGTTCCAATTTGAAGCTTCATTTCTGTTGATTCTGAAGCACAATCATAATTTTTCATAATGTCCTTTTACCTTTTAAAATGTACTGGCACAAAAGGCAAATGATAATTTTATGTCAAAGCATATTATTTCAAAGACATAGATTTGTTTCTTAGTTTTAATCGTCTACACCCACAGAAAATATTCATAATTTTTCCCTATTGGTGATACTTTATCAATCCCATTGAAAGATAAGTAGCTCACATCTCACAAAGAAATTAAATTTTTTAGATGAAATTGATCCTCTATCAGATTTTCGAAAAATTTTAAGAGTAAAATAATGATTCTACAAGATTATGTATTTTATTTACTTGTTTGATTATTTTTTCTTTTACCAAATAACTGGCGTTTCTCATCACAAAAAAAAAAAGGGTCAAAAATATAAGAACAAATTAGTCTCCTAAGATTTTCATGCCTTGTTGGAGCATGTTTGGAAGGATATGGCTGAACTTGTATACTTCTATTGAAAGAATTTTAATCAGCAATATCATATATACTGTGTGAGATATTAAAGGTATAAAAATGATTATCTTTCTCATTCATGCTACCAGACTACATTTCCACTATCACATGGGTTTATACAACAGTGACAAGCAGGAGAAGCTAAACATTTCTAGACATAGAGCTCATCACACAGTAGAGATGAAATTTTGCAAGGAAAATCTACACAAACACACACAACGCTTGAGTAAACACCCTCCCATACACACATATACACGCCATAAACTCATGAGAATATTCACCACTCACAGCGGAAGAGATATAGAATATCCACTCAAGTTAAAGAAGCCTTCATGTGGGGGTCACAGTTAAGTGAAGTTTTAAACTAAGAGAGGGAATGATGAAGGATTCCAGTTGAGATGAGCAGCAGGGAAGAGACGAAGCAGCACTGAATTTGCAAGAAACTGACAGCTTCATTTAGAAAGATCTTGAAACATAAATGCAAAAATTAGAATTAAAACAGAAAGTTGGCCAGGATAATATGATGAAGCGTCTTGTGTACCATAGTCAGTGGTCCAGATGGTTTGATATAAGTATAGCATTAATCAGATCTTAATTCTGCATTATACCTCTGGAAAAACTACATTTTACAGAATGGCAAATTTTAAAATATTAATTTTCTTCATTGACCATATGAACCCATGAAACAGAACCAGTTCCCTATGGCAGGGCCAGTTCCTATAGCAGCAGAAAACTTCTTGTTTTCATCTTAAAGCATCACTAGCACATAGTGTGAGGATGGTGGACACAGATATGCCTTAAGTACATGGGTGCATAGTGCATACCCATTGAAAGGTACTCAACTTATTCAAAAAATATGTCTGTGATTGTGTGTTTCCTTCACAGGACAATACATTCCCCTGTGTGATGAAGATGGTTATTACAAGCCAACACAATGCCATGGAAGTATTGGGCAGTGCTGGTGTGTTGACAGATATGGAAATGAAGTAATAGGATCCAGAATAAATGGTGTGGCTGATTGTGGTGAGGAGAAAGTTGCTTCTTTAATCATTTTCCAACCATGAGATTAAGAACTGTAGTGCCCAATTCATTTTTTTGAACACTTAGTGAAGTTCCACCCTGCATAGACAAATACCATCTGTAAGAGTGAAGGGAGTGGAAGGAAGACTTGTCCTAGCATATTAAAAATCTTTTGTAATATTTGGAAGTGCATAATTTAGATATTTGGTGGAGAATAATTAAAACCTGGGTTCATTTTTCTACTTGAGACTTCCTACCTAAACCACTGTTAGATTCTTACTCTTCCTCCCAAATAAGGCAGACTTTTGTCACTGATTTTACAGGAAATAAGGGAAAACTAGTGGGTGCTGGTTTCCCACTGGACACTCTTTTCCATCCATAACTCCAAGTGAGTGACTTAGCGGATAGGTAAGCTCACTAACCACCAATCAAAACAAATAAAACATTCCACAAATTGCAGCTATATCAACATATTGCTTATTTTCTTATGTTTTGGTGAGGAAAATGTAGTTCAATTTTTAAAGAGTACTTATAATTAATATTCTATTTTATGAACATAAATGTCTATGTACATACCAAGAAAGCAACAACTACACTGAACATCCTATGCATACATTTCAAAGTTTCATTATGGTATCTTTTGCACTTCAGAAAATAATTTTCCACAGTGCAAGATTCAAATCAGAGTGTTTGTTTATCCTATGGAGATTTCTAATTACAGAATTGCATGCAACAGCAGAAATTAATGGATTGTGTTTTGACCAGAAAAAAAAATGATAAGAAATAAAAATAAAGTGCTTAGTTTTGCATTTCAGCAAAGGCTTAAATGTATCCTTATGCAATACTTAAACTGACAAAGATTATTTAGGAAAGGATAAATAATAAATAAAGGTAGTCTCATTCAATTCTTATATTCAAAATACACATTCATTTATTCCATAAAACTTTTAATTAACTTGGTTCCATTTTCTGAAATGGCCAATATGATTAGATCTAAACAGAAAAAAAAATAGCTAATTTGCATAATTTTAACACATAGACAATATGCCTTTGTAATGTACAGTTTATAGTAGTTGCATTATTCATTACTTCAATTATCTCTGATGTCAGTGGTGGACAAAGAATTTTAATTTTTTTATATTGTAAATAAAAATTATAAAGAAATGCTTTTGAGGGGCTGGGAATTTAGCTCAGCGGCAAAAGCGCCTGCCTGGCAAGCGCAAGGTCGTGAGTTCGGTTCCCGGTACCGGAGAAAAACCAAAAAAAAAAAAAAAAAAAGAAATGCTTTTGATAAGTGAACAAAAATTAGTTTGGAAACATGATCTTTTGAGTTTTTTATAGAATGTCGTGACTAAGAAAATACATAAAGTTGGAAAGGAGCAATATTTTCTTTATATAAAATAGATATTTTAGTGTGTCATATTGTGATAGCAACCATTTTATGAGCACTGAATTATGTTAATTGGTTTCTTACACTTACCAAAGGATTATAAAAATACAAGAAACAGTAAAAAAGTAAAGACACACTGCATTTGAGGAGTTGAAAAGGAAGCATATGCTGAGATATGCAGTTACTTTTAAAATATTTGTTTGAAATATTGACTACCAATGTTAGTGTTCTGTTGCTATAGTAATGAAATCCCCCTAACTTGGTGGCCTAATCAACTCCTGCAATTCTGAGTATCACAAGTCAATCGCAAGTCTAGCCAAGCTCAACCTCAGCATGTCAGCAGAGCAGTGCTCCCTTCTGAAAGTCCTTGGGGACAATCTACTTCTCTGCCTCTTTCACTTTTGAGGAACCACTCACAGTCCCTGGCTTATAGATACATTGCTCTAACTTAAACCACCAATTATACATCTCTTTTACAATGTCTTTTTTTGAGACAAGGTCTTGCTATGTAGTTTAGACTGACCTTGAACTCACTATGGCCCCTAGGCTGGCCTTGAACTCATAGTAATTCTCTTGCATCTCACTCCTGAGTGCACCACCATTCCCAGTCCTTTGAGCATTTGTGTGTAATCATATTTCCTGGGATTGTACATGGGAAACATTCTTAGATTTTGTTTTAGTTTTTAAATTTTTCTATTATGCTGGTTGGTACAGTTTAGACATGCATAATGATCATATTCATCTTAGGGGATTTATACCTTTATATGATATATCTTGATTCCTCTTAATTTTCCCAATCCCCTCCTCTCCCTTCAACACCACTTGCCCTCGTTGCTTACAGAGGTTTCTCATTTTATCCTTCTTTTATCATGTCTGCTTCCCCACCCATGTTCCTCTTTCTTTTGAACCATTTCTTCCTATTTCACAATAAGTATTATATACTTTGGTCCTTATTTATACTTTTGGTTTCTCACAGCAGAAAAGCTGCAATAGTGACACCGATTTATTTGTAACTGATTTATTTCACTTAAGAGTATGGGCTTAAGATTTATTCATTTACCTAGAAATGTCACAAGTTTATTCTTCTTAATGGCTGAGTAGTACTCCATTGTATAAAAAAAAATCTTTTTTTTTTTTTCCATTCCTTGCTTGATGGGCATTTAGGTTGTTTCCAAGATTTAGCTATTACAACTTGTGCTTCTATAAGATTAGAAGATCCTGAAACAACTCCAAGCACACTCAGCTACCCTATGTTTGACAAAGGGTCCAAATACATTCACTGAAGAAAGATAGCCTCTTTAATAAATGGTGTTGGAAAAACTGGCTTCCTACAGCCTGAAGACTAAAACTAGACTAATATCTCTCACCATGCCCTAAACTAAAATCTAAATGGATAAAAAAAAATCTAAACATTAAAACAGACTAAATCTGCTGGCAGACAGAATAGGTAGAGCTATTGAAGACAGAGGTGTAGTCAAAGATTTCATGAACACACTCACATGGAAATACTACAAATAATCAACAATTTGGAAATCATCTTCACAAAAAAATTTGCACGGCAAAAGAAATTACCATTAGAGTGAAAATTCTTTGATTTTTTTTTTATTGTTATTTATTTATTTATTTATTTATTTTGGTTTTTCTCCGGTACCGGGAACCGAACTCACGACCTTGTGCTTGCCAGGCAGGCGCTTTGCCGGTGAGCTAAATCCCCAGCCCCAATTCTTTGATTTTTAATAACCAAGTGACAGTTTGGTCCCACATGTGTAATGCAGCATATTCCCTACAACTCAAAGTTCTTAATGCAATAACATGTGCAAAGTTCCTGCCTATGTAAGGAAACATAGTAATGGGTTCCGGGGATAAGGAAGTAAATAATTTAGACAACAGTTATATGCCTGAAAGTCCTGTAGAAGAAATTTTAAATATTTTGTAAAAGTCAGCTTGACACAAACTTTTAAAAGCTAAGTGGAGATCAGTATCACTGAACTAGAAATCTCACATAGCGAGACTCCATAAAGATTCTTGAATTAGCATATAAATTTTAATAAATGATAGTTTCATCAGGTAACTTTTTCCAAACATTAAAGTTTTTATTTTCATTAAATAAGCTGAAGGACAAACTGAAAATGTGAACAATTGCCTCCATTTTCACTGAAGTTTAATGTTTCTCATAAATTATCCCACTAAACACTCAATTAAATGTAGGATTGCTTTTTATTAGCTTTAGATTTTGAGATCTCCGGAGATTTTGCAAGTGGAGACATCCACGACTGGACTGATGATGAAGATGATGCAGAAGACGTAATGAATGACAAAGAAGAAATTGAAGATGATGATGAAGAGGAAGGAGATGATGATGATGATGGTGATGACCATGATGGGTACATTTGATCAGTGAGAGCTGAGGTCAATAAATTCCACCTGTCTAACATTTACAAAGCGATAGCCTATGGAGAATTACCTTTCTGCTCCCAAAAGAAGTAATTCTAAACCTCACATCTATTTTGTATAATTATTTCAAATATTGCAGCTAAAAGTCATAGAACATTAAATTTAAAAAAAAGAATAATTTATTCTCAGTTTTTATATGCCTTAGAGAAAAAGAAAATACATATGGAGGATAGCCAGACAGAAGATAGTTGGGAAGAGCTACTACAACAATTTCTCATAAAATCAAACTTGTAAATGTTCCACAAACTAAAAACCGATATTGCTTGGGATCCTATGTGCTGTTTCTATGAAAGATACTCTGTACGTTAAACTTATTGTAATTTTTGTGTGACTGGAACTCAAGGATTTTATAAAGTTATGCATGACTTTACACACAAATCCAAGTAGCATCTTGCCAGACATCAGGGTACATGAAAGAGACATCCTATAGTTAAATAAACAAAATGACCTTTCTAGAATTCTTTTTAATAGTGATTTTTCAATTGTAATGTTTTCTGGATATGATGGGTTTTTTATAAAGTGGAAAATATGGAAAATAATGGATCTTGAGAGCTAAATATTAGTTTTCCTTTCTAGTTTTTATTTTAATTTGAATGGCAGTCTCACGTATATTTTTAATATTCTTAATAGCATGATTTCTATATTTCTCTATCCTTCTGACCAGCAATTTCATAATATACTTTAAAGTAGAAGACAGATTCATTTCTGCCATATTTTCAGAATTAGTTTTTCATTTGCCCTGTGATCAAATTTTAAAATATTAATTCTGATTTATTTACTGATTTAGATAAATTTTTTACATTCAATCTTAGAATTATGCCATTTTTGTTAGTAGTGCTGAAACTTAGAGAACGTATTGTATGGTGCCTTGCAAAAAATAGAAATAGAAAGGTTTAGCATGCATACCAATATAGGATATTAGGCAATATTTAAGCACACCTAATTAACAAATTAACACAGTAAAGGTACTGCTGCTGGAATGAAGAAAATGGAATATGTGTCTTTCTTTTTTTCTATTGTTACATAATTGCCATGTGGACTTGTTTATCTTAATGTGTAGAGTGACATTTAAGATTTAACTATAGCAAAAATTGCTTTAATTGCTATATTTTAGTTAGCATGTTAATTAATTGTGTAGACATTTTGGCACACCATCACTTTTAAGTATATCAGATCAATGATTTAGTGCCCATAATAAAAATGGAAAAACTTGTTGAATGATACACAATAGTATCTTTAACTTCAACAGTGGACTGACTGGTTTAATATTATAATATCCATTGAAAGCAAAATTGTTGGATTCGTTCCATTTAATTTATATACACTAAATAAAATCTAATGGTGATCTTACATAATATTTAAAGTACAATGCATTTTCTTTTCTACTGTTTATGTATAGTTTACAAAATAAAAAATCTTGTAACCAAAGTAAACCGTTCTTAATGATTTTCCTTGGGTATATACACAATAATGTGAACATTTTAAAAATATACTTCTTGATTTTTAAAATAGATATATTATTAGATGGAAAGGGCTTGTAAATTTTATTTTTCTTATTGAATATTGTATTCCCAGGTATGGTAAAACTTATTTTTGCTGTTTTGTCTTAATTTCATGTTTTCATAACATTCTGAAGTAAATAATTTTCATTCTTAATGTGGTAGTATCTCTTAAATCCATTTTTGTCATATCATACGTAATTTCTTTAAAATTCTATAGGAATAGCATCTTTGAAAAGTATTTAGATATTCCTGTCTATTTAACAAATGACACAATTTTAATATATTGCAGTATAACTAGTGGGTTAGTGGGAAAAGACTAAAAGACAAATTCCCTACAGAAGTATAACAAATGAATTTAAAATAATAAACATAGTAGTCTTGAGATTAAAGTGTTTTTAAAAGTTCACATTCAATACTCCCAGAAAGGAATCAAGTCATTAGCAAATGTTAAACTGAAAACATCAAATAATAAATTTTATGTGAATTATCTGTGTATAATGCATTTGTATGTAGGTGTATAAATTGTATTTATGATATGTTTTAGTTCTCTTAATTCATTTTTGGATATTTTTGACTCAGCACAACTTCCTTTCAACATTTATTTAACCATATATATGAAGATTGGGCCTTTGTAATAAACCAGTCCCTACTGAGATCACAAGAGATTCATTAGTGAAAAAATAATCTTAAAGTCAATGATCCAGTGCAAAAGAGATAATAAATTTATTCCCAATCCACAACAAATGTAATTGTACTTTCCACTGAAATAAATCAATCAAGGATATGTCTTCCACTTAATTTAAATGAAGAATAAGGTGCTTTTGAACTCCAATAAGAGTCCTTAAAACAAATCTTAAAGGATTGTTTTTAATTAAAAAAAATTCAACTACCCTAATATTTTCCTCTTCAAATTGAATTCTGACTTATAGTCATGAAATCAGACTAAGATGAGCTCAATTTCTATCATTTTAGTTTGAAAAGATACATGCAAGTGAAAAATTACAAGAAATTCTGAATCACAGCAAATTAAAATGCAGCACTGGCAAAAAAGAGTAAAATTATACATATAAAACATCCAATGTTGCTGGTGTATCACCATATAGTACAGAATGTTTTGTATTTTTTATTTTTTTTTGGTTGTTTCTCCGGTACCGGGAACCGAACTCATGATCTTGCGCTTGCCAGGCAGACGCTTTGCCGGTGAGCTAAATCCCCAGCCCCTAGTACAGAATGTTTTGAATGCTTTCTTTCATGTATATCTAGCACAACCATTATGATGTGTTGCATAACTAGAGGAAATAAACTAATTTATAATAAACAATAAAATAATATTGATGAAAATTATATGTGGCTTGAAAGAAACTCTGTTTTACTGCCAATCATTTAATAGAATAAAATTAATCCATCCATTATGAAGAATATCTTAAATAATCAATAAAACAGCTGCTAAGAATAATTTATTCTCTGCATATATTTTATACTTTTTTTGGTACAGGGAATCAAACTCAGGGTACTATTTTCATATGAAGCTAAAAGTTACGTGGAAACTACTCATAAGTGTTGATCCTGCTAATATTTTATTTAGAATGGGTTTAGAGAAGTACATAAATAAACATTTGTTTTGGGGCTGGGGATTTAGCTCAGCTGCAAAAGTGCCTGCCTGGCAAGTGCCAGGTCGTGAGTTCAGTTCCCGGTACCAGAGAAAAAACAAAAACCAAAAAAATAGAAAATAAATAAATAAATAAACATTTGTTTCATAATAAATATTTTGATGACTTCTTTCATGTAAAAGAAATGATGCCTCAATTTTGAAGTGAATAATACAGAGCTTTTTACATAGACCAGTTTTAAAGATGTATTAACTGGGGGTGGGGGAGTCTATAAATGAAATCAACAGAACAAGCTTTAGTAATATGTTTATTTTTCCTGGTACATGTACATGTATCCAGGCATACACAACAAGTCTAATTTTGAGCTTGTAGTTAAAAAAAAATTGAGCTCATCACCTTAATTTCTCTTTTCTCTTGTTTGCAGTAAATGAAATGTGCTGCATCATAGCATAGATTGCACAGGTGAAGTGAGAACACAGAAATATCCAGAACATTTAAAGTGGTATAAAGTTATAAATAAATGATGAATCCTCTGTAATGTATTCTTTTTAACATTGTCTTAAACTTAATAACTAGCACTAAGATGGAAATAAAGACAGAAAACATTGTAATTTATTCCACTACACATTTTTATGTGAAATAACATTTTTTTCTTTCCTGACTTAAAATATTTCACAAATTATAAGAATTACAACTTGATCTCATAAAGCTTTTTCAATAATTGAGTCAATGAACACTTCGATGGCACATGAAACATTAACTACATAAGACTGTATGTCAGAGCTTCTGGGACAATTCAATCTGAAAGAATCTTTTAGTATAATAATTTTTTTGTGTGTTCCATGTCTATACTTCCTTCCATCTTTGTGTTAACTAATGTCTCTTTTACTTAACATTACTTAATATTTTATGTGTTTCCAATAAAAATTTTAGCAAGTAAAGTTAAGAAAAATCTGTACATAGTGAAACAAGATTTAAGGTAGTACACCAACACTATTAGATGAAAATATAAGAAAAAATTCCATCAACAATATGAACGTTCATTACACACATTACTCAACGAGTTCAAAGACATCCTTGAAGAGCTTATTTTTAATTATTAATTACCTTATTGATCTTTAGAAGCTCAAGCACACACTTGGATTTACAGGCTGTATATCTTATCTTTTTCATATATGAAATGTGTCTTAACATGTTTATCTTAGAGGATTTGCATGAGGCCTACATGGAACAGAAATTTGAACCCAGGTTATTATGTCTTTTATATACTGGGTGTTCACTAAATCTTAGTTTTAGTTAATCTTTAAAATAGATTAGCAATAGTTGCCTTACTAAATTCTTTAAGGTATGGTGCCCGAATTATCTTCTCTTTTTATATCTCTGTTGATATTTGTCCACAGAGATAATACTCTCAAATAATAATGCTGTCATATATTAAACAAGTGTAATAACTAGTATTCACATTGTAGGGTCAATCTGAGGATAAAATGAATGAACATGTAGTCCTGGAGCACAATAAATAAGGAAAAAATGCAATTTTTATTTTTGTAGGAGCACAGTGTAGAAAAATTGCATTAAGAAATTGAAACCCAAGTATCTCAGTAAGCATTCCCCAATATTTCTTCATTTTGGAATAGGTATACTTCAGGTGTGCTAGTGACCAGTGTTTGTATACATTTGCTACAGGTGTACATTACATTCACACTGGTGTTATATTTTTCCTATATTATAAATAAGGAATCGTATAAATCATGTGTTATCATCATTCCCAGTTCCTTCTTGGTGTATGAAATATCCTCCTTCTGTCCTCATGGTTAAGTGGAGGCCATGTAACTGAGATGAAGTAACCAGGGCAGTACCTGACAGGTCAGAGTTCAGAACCATCACCCATTACAAGTAGTAGGGATCACATGGTGCAGAACCATGACTTGATTTATGCATCCCAGTCCCCATGTTCATTTCACTGTGCTGGGCTACGTCCACATTGAAATGTGTAACAGCTACACAAGTTCATGTATTATTCTTATGTAACATAGAGAACGTTTTCAAAGCCATCTTAAATCTCTCTAATGTGAAGGAGAACATGAATTAATTTTGTTGTTTAATGAAAATAATTAGTTCAGCCAACAGGAGTCAAATTCTTGAGCTCATTCTAGTACAACTTCTTGATGTTAGGCAAAAAAAAAAAAAAAAATTAACTTTGTTTGAATTCAGTTCGTTCACTTGACAAATCATAAACGTTACTCACAAAAGCCATGGTAGCTGGGAGCGCTGGTGCATGTCTAGAATTCTAGCAGTTCCGAGGCTGAGGCAGGAGGAAGCCACAGTTTCATGATCAACCTGGAATACATAGTGAGTTCAAGGCCAGCCTACAGCAAGATGCTGTCTTAAGAAAAAAGAAAATAAGGCCATGGTGGAACTTTACAGAAAGTTACAATAAACTACCTAGCTAAAAATATCTTAGCCACATTATGAGTATCCATAGTGGTAAAAGCCATGGGCTGAGAGTTTGACTATTAGGTGATGAATCTTGGCTCTGTCTTTCACATGCTTAGGCAATTTACTTGAAAATTTCAGGTTGAGTTTAGACCAATTACATAACATCTTTGTGGCTCAGTTTTTTCACCTGTGAAATGGGTGGGAGAAGATTTCAAGAATTAATAAATGTGAAGGCACCTAACACGGTACCTGGCTACTCAGCAAGCACTATATAATAGTTATTAAAAATAGAAGGGAGAAAAATAAAGTCAATATACCAACTGCTATTTTTGTATCCATCACATTTATCTTTATAGTTGAGAATACAGAAATTGTTATTCTTCTTTCTTCTGTAAGGAAACTTCTAGTCCAGAGAAATTATGTGGCCTCTGAAGCTCTCCAAGATCATCAGTACAGAAACTGAAGCACAAACTCAGATAGCACCAGCTCAGTATAGTACAATATTAACTTTCTTTTCATCTGTCATACATTTCCTTGCTTAAAATGTATTTTTATTTTTAAGTATAATGTTTCAAAACATTGATTATCCATAGTTTAAGACAACCTTTCCAAAAGATAAATTATTTACAGAAATTTCCTAATATAGCTAGATATCTCCCTTAGTAATTTTTATGTGCATTTTAATAGGGTTGTTAAATGCTGGTGTCATGTACAATGCTTTTAAGCTCCTTTGAGTGTAAGATTTATGAGCTCCAGCACTGAAATAAAAAAAATAAGTGTATTGGATACTTATATCTCAGACTTCG